ACCGCATCCCAAAACCAGTCCAGCTCGTCCCTGCCTCCCTAACCTGTTCTTCCTCCCACCTATCCCCTCCTCCCACCTCAAGCCGCACCTCCATCTCCTACCGACCAACCTCATCCCGCCCCCTTGACCTGTCCGTCCTCCCTGGACTGACCTATCCCCTTCCTAACTCCCTACCTACACTTACCTTTACTGGCTCCATCCCCGCCTCTTCGACCTGTTTGTTTCCTCTCCACCTATCCTCTCCTCTATCCCTCTTCTATCCGCCTCCCACTCTCTCCCTATTTATTTCAAAACCCCCTTCCCCTCCCCCTTTTCTGATGAAGGGTCTAGGCCCGAAACGTCAGCCTCTCTGCTCCTATGATGCTGCTTGGCCTGCTGTGTTCATCCAGCCCTGCACCTTGTTGTCTTTGTTCCAACCAGTCGGTGCTAAACATAGTCCCAAACTAGTCCCACCTGGCCCATATCTCTCCTATTCATATACTTATCCAACTGTCTTTTAAAGGCTGTAATTGTACCCACATCCACCATTTCCTCCGGAAGTTCATTCCACATGCAGACCACCCTGTGTTAAAGAACATTTGCTCCTCATGTCTTTTTAAAATCTTTCTCCTCTCACCTTAAAAATGTGTCCCCTAGTCTTGAAATCCCCCATTCTAGGAAAAAGACAACCACCATTAACTCTATCTGTACCTATCTTGTTTCCTCCTATTAAATCAATGAGCATATGTTTGCATCTCCATCTTTGCACCTCATTTGGGCCATATCTGTTGGTGATACACAGCTACTAAGACCAACTTTTAGGACATATAGCTGATATTAGCACCTCAATTTATGGGCTGACTTTTTTCCAGCCACGGAGCGAGGGGAAAGGAGGTGTGGAATACAGAAAATAAGATGTCCCAATAGGAGACTAGTACACAGTTCCTGGAATTGGTTAAGGTTTCCAGCCTAGGAAACTGATCACCTGCCTGCTGCATTGACGTGGACAAGTAATTTAAATATTTAAGCCCCTAATATTGCTAATTTTGTGGCACCATCAGCATTTGGTTGGCAACAAGACCATTTCCCCCCTACTATAGGTGGTCTGTGAGCTTCCTTATGACAGAAGACGTATAATCTGCCCCAACGAGCGTGGTTGGTGAGGCTTTAGGGTTGCCATCTGTGAATGGGACGACATGAAGACTGCCTCTAAGAAAATAGCTCCATTGGTCTGTCTGAACACTCTTATTTGGTTGCAACATTAGGGTCCCAAGCCCACTGGAAATCCAGCCCCATGTGTCAATTTTTGTGTTTTTTTTTTGTAAATCTGGAAGTAGTCTTTCACACAAGTGAACTTTCTGTTCTGTCGCCAAATTACCGTTTCTTTTCATCTATTAACTAGAAATATGTAACAAAAATGGAAATTGCTAGAGAAACACAGCAGGTCTGGCAACATCTGTAGAGAGAAAGCAAAGACAATGTTACAGGTTCAGTGATCTTACATCAGAATGATTAACTAGGAAAAGGTGGTATATATGCTGGAGACAGGGAGTGCAGAGGTTGGATTAAAGTAATGAGATGATAGGTATAAATGGAACCCAGAGTGAGAGAAAGACAGACAAACAAAGGGATGGATAATGGGATATTGAATTTGATATTGGGTCCTGAAGGCTACAGGGTTTCCAAGTGGAAAATGAGATGCTGTTTTTCCAGCTTTGACTGTGCCTTGCTGGAGCACTGCAGCAGGCCCAAGGCAGAGATGTTGGCCAGGGAACACAATGGTGTGTCGAAGTGGCAGGCAACTGGAAGCTTGGGGGTCATTTTTGTGGACAGAATGTAAATGTTCTGCAAAGCAGTTGCCCAGCTTGTGTTTCATCTCCCCAGTGTAGAGGAGACATTTGACTGGATTGAATGAAGTTCAGGTAAATCGCTGCTTCATCTGGAAGGTGTGTCTGGAGCTTTGGGTAGTGAGGAGCGAAGAAGTAAATGAGTAGGTGTTACACCTTATGAGCTCAAATGGGAAGGTGCCTTGGTTGTTGGCAGTGGAGGAGGAATGGACCAGAATGTCCCAGAGGGACATGTGAAATGCTGACAAGGGAGGGGAGAGGATTATATGCCAGTGTTTCACTGAGATAGGTGGTGATTTGTAGCAACAAACTAGATTGTATGCGCAGCCTGATTGTCAAATTGTCACTACCAACCAGATTAGGACGGAATACTATTAGAACTAATCAGATTAATTGGAGGATCGGTCTGGAAGTTGTCAGGTCCAATTAGATAGTGCTTCTGCCAAGATATGTGAACCTGAGGCTGAAAACTTAAAGAGGGTTGATGGTTTGTATGGTTCACAACTACAGGAATGTTTACTTCCTATTTACTTCTAAAGCAGTTGTACATAACAAGTCATATACGTACGGAAATTAAAACTACAAAATTCTTGTCAGTATTCCCAAAACAATTTTCTAGACCATACCCAGCTCTGAAAATTTATTTCCTTTTGATGAAGACACCTTTTTCTGAGATGTTGATTTGTTTCCAGGTTGGGGATAGAGGTTTTGTCTTCGTCCCTGTTTGTTGGTGTGTTTGTTTGTAAACAATGCACATCAAAAACTGATGGGAGGATTTGAAAGGAACTTAATAGACAAATGGCCAAAGGAAGCACAGATTACTTTTCGGCGAGATGCAGATCCAGATCCTGACGTTTTTTAAAGGCTACTTTAATATTGAGTGATGAGGGAATTATATTTTTTGGAATGTAGCATTTTTTTAGAGAAGTACTTGCTTATTTTAGAATGTTGCTGAGTGATCAGAAACGGAGAGCAATAGTCAATATCCATTGGATATTTCACGGGCTGGAGGAAGGTTTTAGTTGAGTTCCCCAGAAATTGGTATTGGCACCCATGCTTTTCCTGATATATATTAATGACCTGGATCTTGCTGTGCAGGGGACAATTTCAGAGTTTGCAGATGACACTAAAGTTGAAGGAATTGCAAACT